GTCTTTCATTAATATTTTTTTGCTAATAGATAAAAGGAACAAATTCAAAGGCATGATGTAAAATATAAACACTTATCAAGTTGCTTATCATTTATTGCCCAACTTTTAATTTGAACATATAAATAATTGGTATTGGCAACTGTAAGTTGTAAGGGCAAAAGAGAAGAGTAATACTGCTTAAAGGGATTAAAATTTTTGAGAAATTATATCTTGTTCTTAATTAGCATACCTTGGTACTCTGGGTAGCCGTACGGTATAAGGAGTTTTAAATAAGCCTGTGTTTTTTTTTCTTCGTGGTCGTAAATTGGCTATTCCACAGATGGCCTACTTGTCGTGCATAATAAATATCCACATTATAGCTATTTTACGATAATACCACGAGACAAAGTATAATCTGCAATGCAGGCTGCACCCACTGACATGTATACTAATTGCCTGGACGTACATTCTCATCCAAGTTATTATAATTTATTAAGCGCAACATGTTGTCAAAAATAAGGATGCCGCCATACCTTTTAAGGCAAATTTTGGAGGAAAATGTCAGTAGAGTTGCACAGGCTAATGCTAAGGAAAATTTTTCTTCCATCCTGATTTCTATCAACACTTTAGTATTTATGCGATGATAAAAAGTATCATAAGTATTTAATATTTAATGCGAAAAATCTTTTTAAAATTTCAACAATAAAACATGCTGAAAACGTGTGTCATATATAGTCCGGCAGATGACGTGAAAAAACTCACCATATCGCGGTGGCAATTCCATTTTGTTTTAAAAAATGTCCGAATACGAATATACAACACGAATCAAGATGTTGTCTTTGGTAATTTTTCTTGTGAGGTCAAGCCAACACATTTTTTTGCGGTAACTCTGACTTTTGTGTTATGGGTTATGGAGAAGAAATGAGCCCGCGATATTTCAACCATTGCATATGTAACTTTGTAGTACTTCAAATAATTTCATTTGTTGTGTAACAAGCATAACATCAGAAATTTTTCTATCACACAATTTAATTTTTGAGGTTTTGCGTTGGTGCTAGTTGTTTGGAAATTAATAATAATTTGAAATAGACAATATATTCTTAGTCCTCGTCACCGTCAAATGAATCGTTTGCGTCAAGATAATCTTTATCTTGGGATTGGTTTGTGCACGTGGTGCAAGTACATAAGTCGGTACATTTTGAGCCGTTTGCAATGCATATTCATCGGTTGTTTTGGCATCCTGATTTCTTTCAGTTGCAGCATAAGAACTCCAGTAAAGATCTGGCGCAGGCTTTTTATTCATCCATTTAGGTTCCAATATTCCATAAACCATATGTGAGCCGTATCCTTCAGATGTGGGAGCATAATAGTTGGGGGTCAGACCTAACGTCCAAATGCATGCCACATAATTTGCGCGCTGACATTGAAGGAACAATTCATCAACGGTGGGTGGAAACTGTTGTGACTCAGGGATCTTAATTTTGGTACAAAATTTTTGCCTCTGGGCTTTGTTGATACTTGTACAGCGTTTGATGCCATAGTACTCACCAATCATCTCTTGAATCACGGGAAAGAGAGCTTCGTTAAAACTTTTGTATATCTTTACTATCTTCTATGCCTTCTGTTTGCCTTACCAAAAAGCGCAATAGTTGAATCGCAACCAGTTAATATTTGTAAAGCAGGAAGAGCGACAGCCAATTGTTCACCATTGCAGTCATAAATCCTCGAAATTGCAAAGATTCTTTTGTTCCCCTTTATTCCTTTTTGAACGAACAGATTGCATGGTATTCGTTCTTAGTAAAGCACGGCTAAGATAGCAACTTCGCTTTCAACTGTCGAGATACAAATATTTGGATGTGGAATGAGCTGAGTTGCATGGTTGCAACAGAGAAACATTTTGGTATCTGCTTCCTTTTGGTTAGAGCAAACGTCTTCTTCTAACATTGATACTATTTTGTTTTCCACAACTCTAAGCTGATAACATAGACTTTATAATTTGAATGATATAAGTGTGTCTCCGATATTAGATTTGAATGGCTTGCGATCTGACCAATCGTTTAAAATAACTTTACAAGATCGATTTTGTTTACACCATAACAAATAAACTTTTTAAATTGCTTCGGCCGCCTCTGTTCTCGTCTTGTCAGTTGAATACGAACACAGCCTGCAGCTGCATGTCTTTGCCTTCGCTACTTTTAACGATTGGTCATGGTATTGGTCTTTGACAAAATAAACTACACGTGCTGCGTGAGATGTAACATGCTTTAGAACATACTCGGATATTTCACCAAATGTTTCCAAACTGAGAGCTGCTGAATGATGGCCATACCATCAAAAACTTGTACACAATTTTCTGGAAAAGTATCAAGTAAAGGATCGTGAACATCTTTTTCAGTAGAAACAAGCAATTTTGACTTTACAGTTTTAGCCAAACCACATCGGCTTTAGCTTAGGATCATGGAATAGGTCCCAAAGAGTAGGCGACTACTTCTTGTAATGATACGTTGCGCTTACCGCTTATCACCAGCAATTGAGCAAATATATCTCGGTCAGCTTTCAAAGTAGCGGTTTTTTATCTTTAATCTTACAAGACTTCTTCGTTTTCACCGCTTGAGAAGTCTTGAGCTTTATTTTTGGAATAGGATCGAACAAACCATCTTCATTGGACTCTATACGTTTTGCTAAATAGTTATAAAGAGCTTCTTACCCTCTACTTTCAGCGTTTACCATGTCAGCTTGAGCTTCAGGACTACATTGCAAGCCGGAGCTGAGATGCACGAGATAGCTGTTTTCTTTGAAAGGCGTTCCCTATTCTTTAATAAGGTTGTAGCCGTGAGTGACGCATTCCTCGTCAAATAGCACTCTCTATTCCCATGTCTTTCGTTATATTTTTAACATCAGAGATTCCATGGAACTCTTCCATTCTTGACTAAAATTTTTCTGCAACATTAGACGTAAGCGCCCATTTTTATACGGTTCCTTCAGACGTACAGAAGCCGACAATGCCACCTGCACACTTGTTCCCTATTGATAGTTTGTTCAATAGCTTGGTCTGATGGTATTTTATTAAATTTGACATTCTGTGTTCGTACAGAAAATCTTTTCATGTTCTTCTGGATGCATTTCGGGTAAATTTTGCATGCTAACTTAGTAATATGTCAGAAACCATGCGTAGTTCGCAGCCAAATAGCCAAAGGAGCATGTTTTCTGTAGACTGCAGGTGCATTTTCCAATCACCGAGTTTGATGGATCGCATGAAATCGAGCAATATCTGCACCATTTGTAAAAATGATGACCAAACTGGAACTGTTGGACCAAGTGATCCTTTCAAGAGATCTCTTTCATACTTGTGTATTTGATCAATAGCCTCTTTATGAACTTCGCTGAGTGTATAAACGTTTGCATTTCCATGGAGTTGACTGATTCATCGTACCTTCCAGATTGTTTAAGTTTATCATCGAGCCATTCTACAAAAATTTCAAGTATAAGCCTCTTGACCGCATCGTAAAGATACTTCAGTGTTCTCATTGCATTTTTTAAATGTTTACCTTTGAGCATTTGTTCAACAGACGATTCGCCAAGTATATTTGATTCGATTATAAGAAAAAAAATATCTTTCCAATGACAGAGATAGAAATACACATAGTATGGAAACCATCAAGACTCAGGACAATGAACCTTTTAAGATCAAAATGTTTAGGATTCATCATGATTTCAACTGTTTAGAAAAGAACGCCATGTCGAGAACGACATCCGTTTCATTTAAACCAAGTTTTTGTGCTGCAAGTTTCGATTGAGTTAGTAGCTCTAAAACTGTATCATAAGAAGGCGGAGATTGGATGATAGATAGCAGGTATCCAATTTTTCCATAATCATTGCCGTCATTCTTGCACAACATAAAGTTAAATCCTGTCCAATTAGGTGTTTTTTGTTAGAGATTTTTCTTACTTGCTTGGCTTCTACCAATCATCCATATAGTATCAACCACGTCCGAGCGTTGGACTTCCTCCTGCTATAAATCAAGATCAACAGAAATACTTTCCTTTGCATTCTTTCGCTTACATTTACCTAAGATGGCATCACGTTAAATAATGCATGAAGCTTCTTACGTTTGGTAGTTTTCTTTGAGACTGATGACAGAATTATAAAAGATGGCTCAGGTGTATTAAAGGAAACGTTTAAGGATTGTATCGCAATGCCATTAGTGCAATGAAAGCAAAGTCCTTGGAGACTCTCGGAATTAATGCCATTGTAATCCCATACAAACGTTACAAATCTAGATGGTTGTATTATAGATGGAGTAAAGGATCTGTGGATCTGATTCTTGGCATGTTCCATGTCTAAATTTGTCTCGGACATCGTCGTATCAGAACATCGTCGTATGATACTCCGTGACTAAACTTGTTTTTCCAATTTATGACAGCCTTGGAACTGGTTTTTTTTTTAATTGTAAAAATAATACAGATATGTTTTGATGTTTTCTAGGTCCCGTTATTTGCGTGGTATATCAAATAGAGGAAATCAAATGCGAAACTTTTGCAGACTTTTTACGCTTTTTCCTAAGTATTTCCTCCAGAAGGCATGCTGTTAAGAATCGAACACTGTGTCTTTTAAAAGGAGATCACTCTTTGAATATGGCCAACTTCTGAATGTGCTGGTTCTTTCTAACAATTCCTTACGTATTTCACGCCCGACTTTTTTGTTTTCTCCTAATGTCATTTCCCATCGAAAGGAAAGATCCTTTAGCTCGGACCATGTCGATGAAATGGTTTAAAACAAAGCAATAGCGCAATAAATTAAGAAAAATTTTGGGAGGTATAGTAGTAATCTACTATACGTGTCTTCACTTTCCCATAATGGCGGACAGTAAAATTTTGTAACGTAGTCGTTACGTGTGTTCAGACACTCAATCATTTTTTCTCTTGTTTGTTATAGTTTGTGTTAAATAATAGGAGTCTGATATCTGCAGAGCTCACTTAACGAACGATTGATTTTTAAATTGCTCATTGATTTGTTTTTAGGTTTATTGATTTGCTTCAACGGTTCTTTGCGATCCCTAATGAACACTCCACGGTAGGTTTAAGAAATAAAATTCTTGTATTATGGTGAGAAACGGCATTTAGACAATGCTTCATACATTGTTTATAATGGTTGCCTCGATGCTTTGATGGTGCTGCTGCATGCTATTACTATCTACAGTTAAAAAAAGGCCAATTAGCAAAGGATGTCAATTGATATTTTTCTGTGCTATACAAAAACATTTGAAACTCGTATAGATTCAGCACATGACTTGCTATATTTATACCTCGAAAAATAATACAGTGTCCTTGTATCATAATAAGAACTGTCTCGTTTCTTCGAATGGTTTGAATATGGAATTGATATTCACATTTATTTATTTATTATTTATTTGTTATATTTTCAAAAACTTAAGTACTTGGAGAGATTAAAGTTATATGAGTTGGTGGACAAGACTATAGGTCGAATGGGAGGGGCATTAGAGTTTTCTCTATGCTGATAAAGTTTGGGGAGACCATAAAAGCGAGCTGGTTGTGAGCCTCTAGGGAAAACTGTAGAGTATATATGGTTGTTTATGGAGCCCTGTTTTTTTTTGAGATTTCTGAGAAAGCGTTGGAGTCTGACTTTTCTGAGTAGAGTGGGGTCATTATCTAATGGTTTAAATTTAGATTTGTATTATATTTAAGCGTGCATTACTATGTACCTTTCTGTCCGTAATAATTACTCCATTTCCTTTGACTGGTTTGAGTAGAATGATGTCCTTGTTGTTTTTAATATTCTTCAAGATGCGGTGTTTTTTGAGATCAGATGGTGAAGGACGGTATGACGAGGTGTAACTTTGTGCGATATGTAAGAGTTCGTTCTTGATATGATTATAATCGTCATTGTTTTTCAGCTTGTTAGTGATAGTGTAGGGGATTCGTTCGAATATGGAGAGGATGTCGGCGTCGTTAAGTTTCGGAGGCTTAATGGTGTAATAGAGTCCATTCTTAGGGAGATCAAGTTCTTCAGGTTTGAATGTGTGCGAGGATAGGTTAGTTAAGGTTTCTTTATATGTGAAGGTATAAGATTAGTATAAGACAATAGTACAAAAGTATAAGACAACTTAGCACAAAAGTATATAACAGGACTGATAAAAACTCTAATCGACCGCATACGGAAAATTAACAATACGTCGACTGGCTATTATCATGATTTAAGCGCCCTCATTGACAATCTCAAACGGAATTCCTTTCCCTCGCCTTTCATAGAAAAAATCATTCAATCATATGACCATGACAAAAACACAGACAAAATAAACACCAGAAACGAACCCACACCTACCCAACTCGAGACTTACTTCTTCAAACTACCCTACATTGGCTACATTACACAAATCACGGAACGGAAATTACACAACTTAATAAAACGCTATTGCCTATACTTAGACATCAAACTATTTTTTTCATCTTTCAAAATCTAAAATCACTTTAGCTTCAAAAATTATTCATCTCTCTCAAAATCTAACTTGGTTTATGAATTTTCTTGGGCTATATGTAATTTCCGTTACATTGGGGAGCCACCCGCCACCTTTCTACACGGATTAAAGAACACATAACCACGGACAAAAACTCGCACATATTGAGACACTTACTCTCGTCACCAAACTGCAAAAACAATTACACACAATGCTGTTTCCGTATCTTAGACACTGCTCACACTCCTTTCGCCTTAAACTCAAAGAAGCCCTTTATATCAAGAAGCGTAAACCCCCATATATATATATATATATATATATATATATATATATATAGAATGATAACGACAATACATTTTCTAGTTATAAAATTCAAGCCAAAGTCTTGGTCTCTTGCGCGAGTTGTACGTCAGTTCCAGTTCTTCGAAGTCAAATATTCACGCGGTTTGTACTTCAGTTTCATTCCCCCGAGTGCCAAACATACACGGCCAATATAAATTTGAATAAAAACTGCAAAAGCATAAACATATAAACAACATCTCGACAAACAACACACGAAGGCCAACTCTTCGCAAAACGTTATTTTTTACAGCTGAAACTTTACTAAATTGAGTTCGTTGTAACTTACAACTTGTAACCAGGAAAAGCCAACTGATAATTACGTTGTATGCTAAAAAGACGACACAATGAGAAAATATGACGATAAAATATTCAAGAAAAAATTTTTCTTTCATCGGTAGGTAAATTTTCAAACAATGTCAGACAGTGTTTGTCTTTTTTTGTCATTTCAGTGAATTTAATGATCTTTCCGAGGAAATAAGAAACTTCAATATATCCAGTTTCATAAAAAGTATTGAGTAAAACTCGCATTTTACTTTTTACGAAAAAATTTTTGTCATTTTCATCGATTTTGATAGTGCTTGAAATACTAAATGGTTGTCGTCTCGATATCAATAATTGAATATCCTTAAAGACTTTAATATGTTTTAAAGGAAAACCGCAGCTTAAGAGCAGATCGACTGTGTATGACAAAATAATATAGTAGCTATAAGATGTTTTCATTCTATATGTAAATTTTTTCGAATAAAAATTCATACCAACAAATCCTTTTAATTTATTTGAAAAACTTAATAATACTTTTGCACTGAGGATAACGTAGAATTGAAATAAATATAGTTAAAAGATTTTCTTCGTGAAGATAAAACTATCTAGTAAAATGAAATCAACTGAGGTCAAATTAAAGTCTAGGATCCGAAAAAATACAAATTGTTTATGAACACGCGAGAAACACGAGTGATGACGAATGATGACCACAAATATTTTTTTGGCTTCAATTTTTGACTTCAGTTATCATTCCAGTTATTTGAATTTTGAGTTCACTGACCTAACCTCAACAAACAAATACAACATCTTAACACTATCTTTAATCTGTAAATAGCAATTACTAATTTATCACATATTTTTCATTTTCTTTGTAGTTTTTTTTTTCTTTGATAAAACCTAACACAAACATTGTACAACACCTTATTCAACTATAAATAATTATTCATAACTATTCGATACTTCCCCTTTATCACGTATATCATATTATAAGGTAAACTTCCTATACTGATTCACCCTCGCACTGAAGCTGGCATAAAGTATGCCGAAACATGTTGTCTGTTTTAAATGTCTTTTTTAAGGGTATTTTGACAAGCCCATCTCCTCTCAAATACTCCCGTCGGCACTGGTCTATCTCTATTATTTTTTGTTCTTTCTACCTTCCATCCCTTGTGATAGGAATCCTGGATGATTTAGAACTTTACCAATGAATTGTGAGATGTACTTAGCCATAAGCTCTTCTCGAATAAATAGTTTAAGATAAGAATAAGTCTTGGCTCAGTATTGTAGAATGCAGCTCTTTTAAATTGGTTTTGATGTAATATCCTGTTCACTGATAACATACATCAATTAAAGAAACAACAAGTGCAATTATAAATCATATGCATTTATAAACGTTTACTCAATGTCTAACTGGTCTAAGACGCAGAGTTGAATAAAGGATTTCATTTGCATATATATTGTTAGTAGATTTCAACTAAACTCTCTTCTTTAAATTATCAATCATTTTTTCCAAAAAATATTACAAATTCCTCACCATTTCTTCTGGATAAACTCAATTTATGATGAATGTGCTTTGCTTATTGAAAGATACCCACTTTTCGAAAGCAATTGGATGCATATATAACTGTGTCTTACATGCAGTTGAATTAAGACTTAAACATTGACAAAGAGTGTAATTACACTATAACACTCTAAAAATAATTGTGAAACAAACTGCTGACCACTTTAAATGATAATCAATATTATCTTGTTTTTACCCGTTTCATAAAATATTTCTTTTTCTTCTATTATTTTTACATTTGGATGCTGCACAAGTTTGCAGCGTGTTTTATTGACGAAATTTTAAAAAAGCTTTTAGCTAATGAAGATGATAGTTTTCATGCATTATGACCTGTAACTTTGTTAGGTCCTTGTCGGCGTTGTCTTCCTTCAATAATTCGGAAAAACAAAAAGTACGTACATTCGTTAATTTTCGTTTTTATTTTTTTGTTTTAGAGCGTTTACTGTAAACTTTTCGTTTTATATAAAAGTGTCAAGACGCGATTTATGGATATCAAATGCTTATCATAATTTGATTTAGACTTCCATCAAGTCAAAGGAACTATCTTCTGGACGATATGTGACACTGTTTGATGCGTCTTCGTTGACCAATTTAAATCGCTTGCTGTGTCATAACTATAGGTATACTTTGTTTCATAACTGTATATTGTTCCATGCGTCTTGTTTATTTTTTTCTGTAAGAAACATATTTTGCTTCTTTGCACTAAAAGATACGTAAATTGTACACACTTTATTGTAGAATATTCGATTGCGGTAATCCAAAAAATATTTGCGAAAAGAACAAGAATTCGGCCACTCAAGAGAATCGTGCTGACCTCGTTCAAGCGTGGTCTTTGCTTGGGCTCATATTTGATTCAGATTTACAGCCATCGTTATCTGCTTTAGAAATGCAATGGGCTATTCATCCTTTTGGAAGGCGGCTAATCAAACATATGTAAGATTTTTCCTCGCAATTTACTACCAGTTTATAAAAAAGCTTACGTCATCATTTTAAATTTATGAAAATCAATGCGACCAAAGAGTAGCAGAGTTCTTTTATTTGAGCCATCAAATGCGAAGGTATTGAAAGGTTGTTTATTAAACAGCGAAACGTTTTGTCGTAAATGCCTGAACCTTTTGACCGCCACAACGCCAACATTTAGTTCACAAATGAGGTTGAATGCGCAATGTAAATAAACCACTTTCCATGTACCCACTCGAATTTCATAGCATTTCAATATCACTCGTTTGACTTGCAAGTTATGGAAGAAATCCAAAACTCCTCATCCATATATATGGTGTACCATCATTTAATAATATACATGAAAAAATTTCTCAATTCTGACTGGTTTAGAGCAGTGCAATTTATTGTAAATACCAGTAAGAAACACAGTGCAGAAAAATGGTAATACTGTTCAATTCATTTTTAAAAAATGTGCTCCTGATTGGTTAGTCAAACAAAGAATTGATCTAATAGCGAATGAGAATAGAACATTTCAAAGGCACGAACGTTAAATTATGGTATACAAAGCGATTATCTTGCGTAAGTTTTAAGTAGATCTTTTTTTGGCGAACGAGTTCAAAGTTCACCGTTTGCAAGATGTTTTTAAATAAAAATGGGAACACTACTAAAAGTAGATACCTTGTTCTAGCTGTTTGTGTGGAGGCTATGGTGTTGTGAAAGGTAATATCTATCGCAATTGAAAAAATGAGCCGGTCGATCGATAATAACTTGCCGAATAAAATGAGAGTACGTTGAATTTAAAAGTGAACAGAACTGAAAAATTTTTTCATGTTTTATTATTAATAAGTAATAACATAGATTTTCGTGCAGTTTGGGAAAAATAAGAACTCGTTCGATTTCCAAAACGTCGAATTCCACTCGTCCTTTGGACTTGTTACTCGTGTAATTTGGTTAGTCTTTGAAAAACTTACTCGTGCATGTTTTTCCTAAATTGCAGTCAAAACTATGCTGTACAAATTGAAAACACTTAAAAAAATAGGACAATGCATTTCTGTGCCAGGTCTATGTTATGCATCCGGTTATTTAAATTGCTTTTTTTGTTTTTCGACAATTTTTCTTGATTTTCCTAAGAAAAATTTTTTATGTATTGTTGCCTGTCTCATAGATAGATTGATAGATAAAGCTTCTCTAATGTCCATCATGTTAAAATATGTCTATTTTAGGATAAGGCATTATTTGTCTTTGCATGATGTTCAAATGATGGCTATGATATCTTGCTTACTTGAATATCAAGAAATTGGAGAAAAGGTTGGCATTGATATTGTGAAGACTATTGTGACAGGCATGAAGTTGAATTTGCGTGGTGTAAATGAGACTCGGTATTTCAAATTTGGTGTTTGGCCATGCAAAGTGTTTGTCAGGTTAACCAGCTAAAGTTTACATAGCTACTACATTGCATTTTAATCTGGAACTTTTCTCATTTACTGCTAAAGCATCGTTTACGTAAAAAATTACACTTTGGCAAATGAACTGTTGGATTACCATGATACATGTAATCGCTCAGTAAAATAACAGGACAATTTACTTAAAGTGCCCATAACCCCAAATTTTTTTTGCAAAATGAAATCGAGACATTATTTCTATTATTTTGGACGTGGTATTTCTCAAATTTGGCCAAATTGGTTGTTTAGTTGGTTGTTAAGTTTTTTACATAGTTATTAAATCAGAATATTTTGAAATTACTCAAGAAGTATTGAATTGTTCCATTTTCCAAATTCATTTAATGTTTGGCTGAGTCCCTGCTACTCATACTCATGTAATCAGTCCCTCAGACGAAACATCGTGTTTGCTAAATCACTCTATTAAGTTCGTTTTGGGGTATATAATTTGATAAACTCAACACATTACCACTACAAATAGTGCGACAATAACAATGGTCTTGCAGCAAATGCGAGATGGAGCTTTGGCTAAAAGAAATCGTTAGTAGGCTACAATCAGCACATACAAAACGCTTCCAACCGTTAAAAATGATACAAAATCGACGAATTTGTTATATGAACGTAAAGGAATGGTGATTGTATTCTATATTATAATACGAGGTCATATGTGTATCATAAACAATATAACATTTTCTCATTGTATTTTGATAGACTGACGTTAACGTTTCTTTTATCTAAAGGTTTTGTATACGATTTAGTTTCTTTTCATACGGTAACCTTTAAAAACAGCATTTGTAACTTTTTGGCTTGCAACGCGCAAAAAATACACTTTAACCTTCCTAATGGTTTAAAGACGCGTTTTGCGTTGACAAAGTCAACTGATCGTCTTTGTCGCGTCTTTGCCTCTGCTCGTTTGTCGTTAAGGCACACTTCATTTGTGATTAAGGACCTACACAACTATTCACCATCCACGAGTACAATTTATTTCTTATCCAAGTATTTAACGCAAAAGTGTATAAAGAATACTATAAGTATATTATATCGGAATTATGGGCACTTTGAATTAACGCAATTTTTTATATGTGTTAACTTTAAATAGAAAAAACAGGAGGAACTGGAAGAGCAATTATCAAATTTTGATGGGGAAATGGCCAGTAGCGTCTCTCCGTTTTGCAGGGAATCACATTCTCCCTTTTTCACCATCATTGATTTTCCCGAAAAGGAGGAACGAGAGTGTCACGAAAATAATTCTAAGTAAGTTATGCTTGTTTTTCAATTTTTTTACTGAAGTTTCATGTTGATCAACGATTTTGTTACAAAGCAACAATGTTATATTTTGGTCACCATTGTCCATGATTTAGTTTAAGAGCGACGTTTTTATCTAAGTTCTATCCCTTAGTTGAAAACTTAAAGCTATTTTTTTTAATATAAATGCATTTACATATAGTTTCTCCTTCATTTATAAAAAAAAGTCATGAAATTTCCTAACACAAGGTAAAGATATATTGATAATCATTAGTAAAAATGAAGCTATTTGAAAGGTCAAATTTTTTTGTGGGTTTTGCAACACGCAACTTCAAGTATAATTTGAAATGAAAAAATGATACCCTTCAAAGTTTGTAATGTAAACATTAGTGCAAAATAAAAATCATACAATCGAACGAACCGCAAAGTAATCTTTTTATTATTCTTGGATTGCAACAAATCTCCACGGAAAAATGAAACAATATGACCTGCCCACGTTGTGGCTGGTGCCAACAAAGGCATTGATAAAATGTTCTTTTTTATTTTTTTATATATCCTTCCAAATCGTTATTTTTTCATTTCCAGCAATTTGATTTGCTGCGCCTAAGCGGGTAGCTTTTATTGATATTTTCCCGAAGGGCCAAAAGCAGTGACTCTAAGTAGACTCGAACGATAACTTGCCGCCATCTTTGAACCCACTTATTATCGCTGCCATGACGGTTTTTAGCTGAAAAATACATTTTTACATCTGGCGATTATAGTTCACTCCCTTGAAATTATAAAATATACGTGTAAAGAATGGCGTAAATTATTTGTTGTTGACAAGATAATGGAACTTGAAAAACGAGTCAGTGAACTTTTGTTAAGTCTTGGCAAGTCCTCAAGATTGGTATACTTCAACAGAAATTAAATTACACACCCTACGGTTGAAATGGCAGGATGGACCTCAATGTAAAAACTATCTGATTAGTTGCACCACATTCATCCGATAGTCGAGATGGGCTTGTGTGTTGATTTGGAAAGTTTTAACATATGAAAAATAATGCATACAAAGAAAGCGTTTATGGAAAACGATGACTTTGGTCCAGAAGAAGCTATGGAAGCAGCCATTGATAAGAGAAAGTTCCTTATTAACAGACTTTCAAAAGAATATAACTTTACTGAGACTACCCATAATGAAGATTAGTCGTAGCGGAGGAATTACGTCAAAATAACTTGTACTTTAGATTAATCGTCTCTGTGTTCAATATATTCTTCTGATAGCAGTTTAATGCGAAAAGTACTTTAATAGGCCGTAGCTGTAAAAAGCCTTTCTCTCATTACTCATTTCTGTCTCTAACTCATTTATGCAAATATGACAGGAAAATCTCTTTAGATATAGCAGATTTCCCTACTATTTTGCAGTTTAGCTATTCCAAAGCGCATGCGTCTGATGTAAAAACATCGGGCACATTCATTCACGTTCAAACCAAATTATTTAAAAATAGAAGACGAGTTTGTTTGACTTATGGCGACGCAAATCTATACAATATTTAATAAAGTCACTTTGGTTAGAAATAAGAACAATTGAACTATGCAATACGAGCTTTCAAATTGTATTATTTATAATTGTAGGCCATTGACTTTGAAGGCAACCTAGGACATCTTGCTTACAATATTCTATCTTTTCTTTTTGGTGATGGAATATTTTTAAATTAGTTGTGTAAGTACATCATACAAAACCTTCCGACGGGAAGGGAACAACCTTCCCGCAAAATGATCAATTTGGTTGCTCTGTCAAAGTCACAAGAATGAGTCGCTCCATATGCTGCAGCCAAAAGATTCTTTGTTCCCATAAATGCCTACAGTGTTAATAAGTTGACGGTTATTCAAATATGAAATTAAATGAGAACGCAATAATATTCTTGGCATATGTTAAAACTTTCCAAACCACGTGGAAGCGCGGCTTACTTCCTAGGTCTGGAAACTAACTGGCACGGGTAAGAGCTCTGTCAAGTGTCAGTATAGCTGCAGGTTATCTACTAGTATGGCATGAAGTGTAACTTGTTTATGTCATACACTTGGTAATTGAGCGTGAATTGTTGATAAAATCAACTCAATGAACAAATTTATATTGATATTAAAAATCCCACAAGTTTTTGAGAAGTACAAGAGGTCAATGACAGAAAACCAGCAATAACTCACAATTCAAATTGAAATCATCACTTTCACACTTCAATAAAATAAACAGAACCTGTGCACGTTTTTAAAAATGTAATCTTCATTTAAAAGAAACAAAATTGTAATTAAACTTTTTCTTTAAGTGCATTGAGTGTAATTTACAAAACTTTCATAGATATCTTCTCACATTTATATATGTAATGTAAATTAACAATACATGTACAAATCATATCTTTGTACGTCCACATTGAATCTTAACATATTAATTACCAAATAGCGCCAACGATTGTGCCAAAAAGGAACTATTTCAGCGTTTGAACATTTCATTTGCTATAAGTTTTTGCAAAAACAATCCGTTACGGAAATAAAAAATTCCACGCCAGACACGCGCGAAGCGTCAGAACAGCTCCTAGTTGGCTTCAGACAAGTCTAGGCATTTTATATAGAGTTATCGTTCCAGTGTACCTACAGTTCACTGGCCAAGAGTGATCTTTTTCGCAATGTATTTGTGGGATGCAATCATCCCCTAGGAGTAAGAGAACAATGGAATGCTCGCCATGTCGGATGAGATGTGCATTGTAAATAAGTAAAAACCTTTGTTGAAATCATCCAACATGGCGGCTATGACGTAGCTTGCAAATCAAGAACTTGTTTTAGAAGTGAAATGTAAACTCTTAAAATCGATTGAAAAGCGATGTGAATTGTTCAACGAGTAAGGAAAGTGTATTCAAATGAAAGTTACATAGCAAGAGTGAATTTTACTATCCAGACAAAGCGAAGTCTAGAAGACATTTCTAGAAAACAATCCAATTTTACTCTCAACCATTAATCTCAACATATGTTTTTTCTTGCAATGCATTTGTTTACAAATCAGGGACAGCTGCAGAGGTGAGGGCTATATCCTCCCGTCGGCGGAAATTTGACGATTTGTCGGGGAATGAATAGAAAAAATGTAATTTCCAATGTCGATTATTGCAGTTCGTTTGTAGTAATGTCAGCACGCAGCATCTGCACTAATCTTCATGCATGCTATCCGACATTAAATTTAGAAGTTAATAAAAATTTCTTGAGATACTTATTTTTGAATTTTCATTATCGAGCAGATATGAGATAAATTTGCATATGCGATCGCCACGACGCCCGCCCGCCATAGGTTTTCTGTAGGTTGTTTTTTGAAACTCGGCTTTCCAATTTTGATAGGAAATGTAAAACGGAAAAACTCTGCTGTTTTAGTTTCAAATCAGCAAAGACATGAGATTTTGGCAGTTTTACATGTATTTCGGCTATTGCCTGTGATAAATCATCGTCAAGTGCCTGGACAGCTAATGATGTTTACGAGCTCATTGTGAGCGAGGAGCAAACTGGATTTAGTTACCGTAGTAAGCAAGCTCAACACTAGATTTCCTAAGTGTACAATTGCTCTCTGAACGTCAAACAATAAAATTGAATGACCTACTAGAGTTATATTTATCCGTAGATAGCGTATCTAGACTTGGTGCAACCTGTTCCAGAGTAACTGTTTTGTTGTGTTGATTGTGCTTGACAATTCATTGCTAGGTGGAATGACAACCAAGAGAAATCGCCAAAAAAATTTTTTTTCAGTACCGTTTTTCTAACTGACGTGTTACAGTTTTATACACACAACTCTTAAGTTTTGCCTGAAAAAAATGGACAAAACATGAAATCAGGGCAGTAAGTTGTAGAGCTATACTTACGCTTTATTTGTTTTTGTTTTTACGCCATATTTGTTATAAATAAGCATGTTATTCTGCAACGCATAACACTATATAACGTTTCCCCAATTTGAAAAGTTAAAAAGTTCTTATTAGCTGTAAAATCCTTTATCCTCATCAACCTTAATAAATAAATTCAGATGTGGCGATTTCCCTTAATCTTTTTATCTATAAAACTTCCATAAATAAAAACCATTCACGTAATATTGCAAATTATACATTAGTTTATTTTACATTTATAGGTTTGTCAAGAAAGAGGAGAGGAGGCTTTATGAGCATTATAAGTTGACTTACGTCGACCTTTTGTACAAGTGTGAATTGAAAACTCGAAGAAACGAAGTACTGAAGTTTGTATTGGATCCGCAAAAATTTTTCTTCAATAAAGGTTAATTATACACATTGCTATTTACGTTATTAGTTCATTATCATTTATAATCATGGTATAAAAACTGTATATGGTCATTACTTTAGAATATGCCTTGAAAGGCCAATTTTGTCACGATAATTCTCAGTCGTCTAAATTGCTGATACGAAATAATAAACATTCAAAGTTGCAATGTGTCATCTGTCGCATCGCTGTCAAAGGTGAGCGTATTTTGTACGTTTTATGTTCTTCCATAAACTGCGTCGTGGTTGTTTTCTTTTTGCATTTTCAATCTTTTGGTTTTATTGTGCAATACTCGAGTGAGCTTGCTTCCACGCAACTGTAGGACCATATCTTGACGCCAAAAATTTAGATAACCAAATCATAATGGTTTTTGCTCTTTTACCTTAGAAACATGCAATGAAAGTTTCTGTCATAGACCTTCGTTGTCTTGCAAAGAAATTGAAGTAGAGATCATTTTTACCGAATTTAATATGAATGAACCAGGCGTCGGATCACACTATTTCTGAAATACAGTAAAATGCCACCCATTCAGTAATTCCATCTTGTGCCTGACAAATTGTTTCTAATTATTTTTATTTTTCTTTATATTATTATTATTATTCTCACCTACCATATGCCTCGTTGCTTTATCTTGTTGCGTCAATGATTTCATAATTGAAATATGCTCATTTTGCGTCATAACTGTTGGGAGTAGTGCGTGCAAGAGTTGATGAGCAGAACTATGCTCTACCATAACTGTAATTGTCATGATTAGAAATTTAAAATCGTAGTGAAAGTCTTTTTGACCTGTTTATGATTTAACAAGCCAGGCCAACTTGCAAAACTGAGAATGATAAAAATTAGATCGAGCAATATTCATCTTTTGATACATGTTTTGCTGTGTTGTTATAGCGAGCTATGTATCTGACTATGTGCACTATCTAACTATAAGCAGCCCGTATCTTTTAATCCTGCTTGGTAAATTTTGAAACATAAGGATCATTTATTTCTTTAGAAACATATTGTTCTTGACAATGGGTGAACACAGAAAAATTGGCATAGCCAGACCGAATATGCTGGCTGGCTACGTCAATGCTTTGATTCTGACGAAAATAGTCATCACTATGATGAGCAATATGCACTTTGTAGATTTGTTGCGTGATAAGTTAGGAGTCTTGCTATCTTTTAGGAATGTTTAACTTATGTTTTTCCTGCGGACATGGCGGACACACATTACATCTTTTGAAGTGGTTTGAAACAAACAGCGTTTGTGCTGGGGGCTGTGGCTGTCAATGTCTTAGAAAAGATGCTTTCAAACTCTAATGTGAATGATGGAGACTAAGAAATTGTGTTGTTCTTGTCGTTTTCCTATTTTTTCTTAGCTATGGATTGGAAAATGATCTCACAACATAATATAAGAAGGTAAAAACGTTGAGTTTTGCTTGTTGCTTATTTTCATTTATGGCAAAGTTTTGTTATAGATATATTACATACTAAACAAAAAGATAGAATTATAATCTTATGTGGTTTTTAACTAAGTTTAATAACCATGGCAAACAAACAAATTCATAAAATGCAATAAACGTATTATGATCATCGTCATGCATGTTAAGAGGAGTAGGAGAAAACAGGCTAAGTTGAATCGTTTTATGTGAATTGGATTTTTGGTGATTTGGATTCGTCATACATAGCAGACGTAAAGTCATATAAGCCTCGTAAATTGATGATTTGCTTTGCTCGATACCTTTCGTAAGATAAACTATAATATGATGTACTAGAGATGGTGTTTTTGTGTCTTTTTTTTGGATTTGTTATAAAAAACAGTGCATTACTAAGTGCGTATCAATGGAAACGTGCTGATAACAATCACAATCCAAATAAAATATCTTTTTCATGCTGTCGTGAAAAACACTCTTTGCAGAATGTTAGAGACTGAGATATGACGAGACCAACGGCAATGATATTTAATTAAATTTTTAGCTGAGCATTACTTAGAGCTGGAAAGTCTGTGTGCGAGTGTAGAACTTTTGCATTTTCTATCGTCTATAAAATTTAGGGAAGGATTAGGACAGTAGCACAGTAAAACGATGAATAATTCGGATTAGCACAGTAAAACGATGAATAATTCGACAGCATTCGCCCGTTTTTGGTCGTGCTCTAGTCAGGCCAGCACGACCTAATTATATATTCCTAAGCGCTGAATGGCTAGAAAATCTCAGTCTTTTAAAATGGTATAGTCAGCCTTAGTTTGGTCGTGCTTTGATCAGGCAAAAACGACCAAAACATAAATTACTAATAATATATAAGGCTAAATTGCGTCGTACACATGATCAATCGCCGAATATTTTCCTTTGGTAGTGCCCAAGTTTATTAGCACAAGTATTTCAAATACTGTCGAATTATTCATTGTTTTACTGTGTTATTGAATTTATCTTTTTTTCTGTGAACATGGAAATCAATCAAGGACAGTCAAACGTCGCGTCTGAAGCTCAAAGATGCAGAGATATCGTTTCTGAGCTTTTACAAAAGATTGTCAGTTCACGCAACGCTATAGAGTCAAAATATTTTGTTTGTATGCCATGACCAACCCCTATGCTCGCACTGAAAACGAGAAATAAGGGGTTCCGACAATCTTGGTGGGAAAGGAAAGATTGGTTGTGCGCCAGTGTGAAGAAACAGCGGTTATTTTGTTGCCTTTATACACATTTTCGTCCAAAGTCCACTACATTGACTCAAATTCATTATGTCAACATGCATTTTTACTTGGCAATTGCAAAAAGCTTGAAATATCAAGGGCGCACACTGAAGCGTGCATAACCGCGGCACAGACGACTTATCTTGCCACCAACTGTACTGGAACTTCATCTTTGTTGTCGCTATAACACTACCAGTTGTTTTTTCGTCTAGCTACGCCACTGGTGTATAGTATGTATGACATTGAACAGTCTTTTTAAATTTCATACGTCATGTTTGGCAAACAAGAGAACGAACGACTTCTGTTCCAATATCAGACAAATCTTAAGAGCAGATATACATCATACAAGAGTCTGTCTTATTCAAAAAATTCAACACCTTTGGAAATTTTAACTTGGGTGCGACTTTTTTTTTAAAAGATTTTTTATGATCTGTATGTAAAAGAATTACCCCTTCCTTAGCTTAGTGCCTACATTAAAAGAAGAATAAACAACATAGTATGACCTTCGTTTTGTTGTTCAGCTTCTTTTTTTCCTTGAATAGCTTGTCCGCATTCTTTTCTTCCCGCCGATTTGAGTGATTTTACAAAGAGTGCTTTGCAACCAGGAGAATATATGAAACTTCTGAAATAGATGAGCGCATGGAGGAGCCAAACGTTTTCTTTTTTAGGAAAATCTCAAATAAACCAGCCCGAAACTGTAAAAACACTCTAAATGTTTCGAGCACAATTTGGTCAACTTTTACTATGTTTTCATTAGTTGTCCACCCAACACAGTCTGGTTAATTTTCCGAAATCTTTGTTAATAAGCCCTTAAATACCACGCTTGTGGTCTTTATGGAGAAATATCAGACCGTGGTCTTTTTCTCTCGGTCTTTACTGAGACGTATCGGACCACTTTTTTAGTTTTTATCACAGTTGACGTCATACCCGTGTATCTATAACTGTGTAGACAACAGTTAAATGTTATCTATTTTTCAAATATTTCAATAATAATCTTAAAAGTACGTCATTTGCAGCTTATGTGCAAAAATTTATTTTGGCACAAAATAGTAAAATAAGCACAGAATTAACTAAAAACGTTCAAATCGTTATTTGAGCACTAATTTCATAAAAACTTGAGATTTATTATTTAAAATGGAATGTATTTGATAGTAACGCAATAAGAAATTTAAAAAATTTTAATTTTCAGGTTATGTGTTTTTCTGCACAAATTGTAGCTAATAATACTGCGTTATAACACTTATTTGAGCAATATTTTTGCAAAAACAGGAAAACTAGTAAATTTTTATTGAAAATGATTTTTTCAGAGTAATGCAATTAAAATCAGAAAAAATATTAATTTGTGCTGTATAGGTAAAATTTTATTTTTGCACGAAATAATCATACAAGCAAAAAATAGGCTAATAGCGTTGAAGTCATTATTTGAGCACTATTTTACAAAAAAGTACAACTAGTAATTTTTTATTTAAAACGTCTTGTATTTGTTAGTCCATTATATTCCCGTAATCAACCACCGTCCAAAACGCATAATTTTACAGTCAAATGTAAACAAACCAATTAGAGCATTCAGCATAGCGCAAGAAAAAACGAAACAAATAACCATTTGCGAATGTGAGTCGAAGGAAAACACTTGGAAAACAGTTTAACTATCCAGACGATACAAGTTGGAACGATTTATATTTTATGCACGAAAACTAGAAAAGTGAAAGCCGATCGGTAAAAACCAGCTAGGACGAAAAGCAAGCTTCGTTTCAGGTCATATAATGCCATATAATAAACTTTTAATGACCTCGTTTTCTCGGTCTTTACTGAGACATATTGGACCTCTGTCGGAGACATTAGCAAACCGGGTTTTTTTCTTTTCTTTTTCAAATACTTTAACTGCCTCAACTAGGTCTTTGTCAATATGTTTATTTTTTGTGACGTCAATTCCGTGCGTATGTCCTCTTATAGATCATACGTCTCGACCAATGAAATTGCTCAAATTCTTCTGGTTCTTATATGAAATTAAATAAAGCGCATTAAAATACAAAAGTACTAGTTTTACTTTTTTTTGATAAACAGGACTCAACAAACCATTTTAAGGCTATTAGCTTATTTCATGCTTATATGAGTATTTTTGGACACACAATTTTTTGTACAGGGTGACCCAAAAATATTCGTACCCATGAAAATTTCAACTATGGCTTTAATTAAAAAGCTATTTATTTCAAATTACAACCACACATCATTCAGTTTATGGAAGACTATTCACTAAAGTTTCGGCTATTTCTGTGAATTTTTAGTCAATTTATGGCTTTCCCAAGATGTGTTCCAAATGTCCACCATTTCGTTGCAAGCAAACCTGTACTCGTCTGGCAAAGTTTTGAATCACTTTTATACACTCCTCTTTCGGGATGGCTCTTATTTTTGAAGAACTTAAAACTGCCATCACAGCAACAATAAGAGCCATCCCGAAAGAGGAGTCTATAAAAGTGATTCAAAACTTTGCCAGACGAGTACAGGTTTGCTTGCAACGAATTGGTGGGCATTTGGAACACATCTTGAGAAAGCCATAAATTGACTAAAAATTGACAGAAATAGCCGAAACTCTTGTGAATAGTCTTCCATAAACTGAATGATGTGTGGTTGTAATTTGAAATAAATAGCTTTTTAATTAAAGCCATAATTGAAATTTTCATGGGTACGAATCTTTTTGGGTCACCCTGTACATAAGGTACAAATTAAGCTTTTTTGATTTTTATTGCATTACTATCAAATACAATCCATTTTCATTAAACAATGAATTGTCTTACTTTGTTTGCAAAATAATTGTCAATTAACTGTTTTCATGCTTTTATCTGACTTTGTGTTTATATTACTATTTTAGGCAAAAATAGAATTTTGCACACAAACTGCAAATGAAGTTTATTTATCAAGCTATTTTTCATAAAGAATTTCAAGTGTTACTTTTTGTGGGTAGCCGTTGCTTATGCACAATTATGATTCAAGTAATTAGCTTGCTATATTGTGGTCATATTTGCTTTGTCGATGGCTTATTTCTGCTTTGTGATTGAAATTTTAGACATTTAGATTTGTATCGGCGTAAGGTCAAAGACATTTAGTCTAGCTTTGCGCATGGTACGTTTCGTAATTTGTGCATTGAATGCAAGGAAATATTGGTGAATTGTCCGCTTGCGTTCAAAGATCAAACAAGCTATTTGCAATCAGTACAAAATTGTGGAAGGCATGGTTTTACAGAATACCTCAAAACAGCACCTAAATGTTATTGCCTGTTGTCTTTTATTGAATGCTAAAGTATAAGCATTAACTTCACTTGTCAGTTGGGCTAACGAATTATCGTAGTCTTCACAAAACTGTATTATATATGTACTTAGCCATTCTTATTCACGTTTTTTGCTTATTGCTTGCTTTACTATGATTACAGTAGTTTCCTATGAAGGGTAAAACGTAAATATTATCTGTGTTAATGTTAAAATTACAATGAAGCTTGATTCGACTCAAATTACCATAAAGTAATAAAATTCTAATATAAATTCTTTCGATTACTTGTAGCGTGGGAGCCATCGCTTTCAAAGATCAAACAGTTTATTTGCACATAATCTTCGGAAATATAAGCTATACGAATAGAGCATAATGAAATTAAAAGCAGACATAAGCGACTCTTAAGTGTACATTGATATGTATACTACATGGATCGCGCGTTCGCAATATAGTGAGAGCAAAAATTTGGAGCCGGAAGTAGACTGCTATAGTTAGATGCGCCGCCATATTGAAGAGTCCCCATCGTAATAATAATCTATAGTAATGAACCACCATAGCAATGAATTTTGGAGCGCATTGTACATATAAACCATAAAAATCTTCCAACATGAAACTAGAAGCATTCTTATACGATAGTATCTCTCAAATGGTGTTACGAAAATTTTGAAATAAATCCTTTCTTAACAGTACAACTGCTTCCTTAATCTTAATCCAACACATAATCTTGCTAATGCCAATACGTAGCAGTTTTGTAAAATGCATTATAAGAGGTTTCTCGCAATTTTTCATAGCAGTAATTGATATAATTTATTTGTGAACTATGTGAAGTGTGTTGTAAATTGTCATGTTATGTTGTGTAGAGTGTGAATATACCGTATGATATAAACTGTAAAATGTTAAGTCATGTATTACTAGACAAATAGGAAAATACGTATATAGTTATTAAACTGTGGTTTCAGTGGAAATCCTGTACGTAAATTCAAATACTTTGGAACACTTTTTCTACCCAATGTGGCATTGCGGTAGGATGTAGGTAATGACGGTACTCTATAAACGGAATGGCGTGTTGCAAGTCATGCAAACGCCCAAAAATCATATCCTAATAATTATAATATAAATAATAGCTTGCAAGCGTTGGTTCGGGAGTTCGGAAAAGTTGTAGTTGTTGGTGTATGAACTGGTCATACAAATTTGATGAATTAGAGTTGTATTGCAGAAGGCAATAAATTTCGAAAACGCAGTTGTAGGATTGACGGTTGTCCGTAATCTTAACGAGATCAAATTTAATCATTCCGTATCGCGAAGAACCAACGCTTGGAACGGAAGATCGTGCACAACACTGTAAATATCTTATTGAAGTGTTAAAATTATATATTCAAAATACAGTCCCGTCGTTAGTGTGAAGTTTTAGAACAGTGAACCAGCACTTCGCGCAGATTGTGCGAAAAAGTGGAACTGTTCAATATGGCCGTCTTCCGGCTTTAAATCTAATTAGTGATGAGCGGCCATGTAATACATATATCAATAAAGTTTACATAGTTTTCGGCTTATTAAACTGTATATACACATATGATAACTGTTTTACAACAGAAATTGAGGACAATATGCAAGTTATGGTAAAAAGAGTTTGAATGAAAATAGTAATGCATTTGTCGTCGAAGAATATGTGAGAAATTGTAGGGACACCACTTATTACAATTGAAACATAGTAACGTAATATAAGTAACGTTTGTACAAATACTATTAAATATATAAGATTATTTCAACTAGTTTTATAAATCTTATTAAAGTACTCTCAGTTTGTTTTATTGAGTTGACAGTTTTAATACACTTGTGATATAATTTATAAAACAAAGATTTTATTTCCTTCACTTTTTGGGTCTCAAAGTTAGCTTTTTCTAGTTTGATGGTTACTGAGCTTAGATCACCGGTAGTGACGTAAACACGCTGCTTTTCTTAGAATTGTAATGAGATAAAACAATAAAGTGCGCAATGTAGCAAAATTTTAATAACCGTCCAAACTTTTTGGCAAGCGACAAGCACACACGTTGTACGGATTTTCGTGGATATATTGAAACTTGATGAAACATTTTGAACGCGTTTTGCTTGCAAAGAGACACCTTGAACAAGCAAAATTGTAGAAATGAAGAGCACGTTATAGGAAATTTTCAAAATTGCTATTTCCGCAGATGCATGAAAAGAGATCTTTGCTTTGTTTTTCAGTAAGTTAGGATACTGACGTTTATGGGGCGCGAAGTGTTTCTTTATTATTTTCAGAATTTTTAATGTTTAATTTCATTATTTATTAAATAACCAAACGTAATAGGTTGGTTATGTCAAATAACCAATTTGCCAACACATGATTATTTAAAAAATAACCATTTTTTTGGACTAGCATAAGTTTGTTTATTTCAAATAATTAATTGACAAAATTTGGTTATTTGATAAATAACCATTTTGAGTTCGGTACCGATTTGGTTCTATCAAATAAACAATTGTACGCTACTTGGTTATTTATTAAATAACCATTTTTAGTTTGGTGCCGATTTGATTATATCAAATAACCAAAGAATTTAGTTACACTTGGCACACTTAAGGTGACGTAACGTTCGTGTTCTACTTACCCTCTCCCGCTGTGGAAAGTTATGAAACATGGCTTCCGGTTCAATATTGTAGTTCACTGATTTAAGCAGAAAGCGCGCAAAACAAGACATGGCGGATAATACAAACGATATTTCGAGAAGGCTGACAGAAGCGATAGGAAGGGTAACCACGCAAACTTTGGATACAATAGAGGTAAACGAGCGAGTTATTTCGCATTTAATTTATGTCAATCCAACAGTAGTCTGTCTTTGTTGATTTAAACAAATTTGACAGATGAGCATTGAGCACGAGACAAATGATCCACTGGTCATTCAAACCAGTGGCTTGCTACATAAAATCAAAGATATTTCGTTGATTCAGATTTTAAGTATTTTTCTCACTCAGCAGGCATCAATGGCTGATGACATCTCAAGCCAAAACAGTTCTAATGCTAGTTTTATTACAATCCAGCCTGTCCAGGTACGTTGACTTCTTTACAATTGACCCCTGGGTTACCAACTTACTATGTGCCTGGTCACTAGAGATGTTTTTCCAGACACTCTTTTGTTAACATTTTTGTTAACATGTGTTCTCTGTAGCAAAGAATTCCAGCTCAAGCTACCTTTTCATAATTTGGTTTGGCATCAAGGTTAGGGTTGATGCTATGGTTGTCAATGTTTCATTTGATTGTTTAGATAGTAACGACTAAAAATATACAAGATTTGCATGAAAGGTATCATATCAAATAACCAAGTGGCGTACAATTAGTTATTTGATATAACCAAATCGTTACCGAACTAAAAATGGTTATTTATTAAATAACTAAATTTTGTCAATTGATTATATGATATAGCCAAACTTATGCTAGTCCAAAAAATGGTTATTTGTTAAATAACCATGTTTTGGCAAATTGGTTATTTGACATAACCAACCTATTATGGTTGGTTATTTAATAAATAATGAATTGTTTAAAATGGTCAAAAATCACCACTTTTGACGGCTATAAAATCAGTTTGAAAATACCAACTTCAGATCTGTTGGCACAAAAATGATTTTGTGTGCAAGCGCTTTTGAATAAGCGAATAAAATAGAGTAGAAATATTTCACTGCATGGGCACTTTAAGGCTACAAATGTTTTATGTTTTATAGTCAAGCTTATATTTTATTCTTAAATTCACAATGCACACAATCACAACTTAGCTCATCGACACTTCACTGAAGTATTGAATTGTTTACCTGAAGAGGAAGACATCGTATGATGTCGTGATAAACCAACATTTCTCACAATACGAAAATTTTGAAATAAATCCTTTCTTAACAGTACAACTGCTTCCTTAATCTTAATCACAATGCACACAATAATCACAACTTAGCTCATCGACACTTCACTGAAGTATTTAATTGTTTACCTGAAGAGGAAGACATCATATGATGTCGTGATAAACCAACATTTCTCACAATAACACTTGGTAAAGACAAATTATTGTGTTTGTCGTATGGATGTGTGTATAACTTTGCGATGTATTATTCCAGATTGAATGAACTTGAAATATGTCGGTTGCTGTAAGTTTGGTATAATGGCTCTTGAATTGAGTTGTGTTTTCTTAGCAAACGTTGCTTTGAAGTTTGAAGAATGTCGAGCAATTGATTTTCGCAACTGGAGAGAATTTAAAGTACGTCTGTAGCTTTGAATTTAGTGTCAGTGAACTGATTTCAGTTCGCAAATACAGTCCTGTTATGTAAATGAAGCATTATTATTCATTTCTAAAAAATCTTTTGTTTTTGAAGGAAGGAAATACAGAAGAATTTGCATAAAAGGATTAAATATACAGGCTGGCAATACTAAATTGTAAATCTTTTTTGTACAAAACGGGCTTAAAACATTTGTTATTTAAAACGGCTCGCTATACTTCATTTACCTTTTCGTCATGATTATTTTCAGAACATAAAGCAATATATATTTCTTGTTCGATCTGTTAGTTAAGTTTGATTACTAAAAAATTTCTTTAGGATTTAAATGTATTAAATTCTTATTCCATACATAACGTACAAGATCACCTTTTAAACAGCTAAAATATTGACTACAATCATTTATTAAAATGATCCATCATGGTGGTTATGACGTAACTAGCAGACCATGCTGAGGAATGGGAAAAAAGTTTTTCAAAAAAGGATAGCAACAAGAATTGACGGGGAGGTGAAAGAATTCGCCACATATCTTGTGTACTCCTGCTTTATGGACGGTGAAAGCTTTTCATTGGTCAACAAGATTGTCAAAACGGTAGTCAACATCAACACTGATCAACAGTCCTTCTCAGGACTTTAATAAAACGCACACGATCTACATCTACTAACATGCTGGTTCTCAGAAAGTCGTCCGAGGAGTTTGAGTCGTCTTAAATGAGCCATTTCACTCGCGTTGATAAAGCACCATCCAATGAGCTTGCGTTCTAGAGGTGACTGAAATGAGTGAATCTACTATTTGCGAATCACGCTTTAATTTTCTAATTTTGTTCGAGCTGTGCAAGCAATGTGAGGATGTTGTCAACAAAATAAAAAATAGCAAATTTTGTGCGCTTGTGTTTGAACCTTAAATTTCGTGCAAAGTCAATAAAGAATTACAAAAGAATTGGATCTTCGTGTTTTTGTCATTAAAAAAACACCCTAACAACTATATTTTTAATGGCAAGATTTTATACTATGTGCATTTATTAATTTGAGATGAAACGTGAGATATAGAGATATATTAAAATGAGATTAATATATTTCGTGTTGTCTACTGATTGACTTAGCAATATTTTGTAATGTGGAAAACATTTTGGAAGTTAGTTCATGCATGCATGTCGATTTTTCAAATTGTTGATGCAATCTATAAGGTAATTATACGCCCATTGCACTTTAGCAGGTGAATTTCCAACAGACATTTCTTTCTTGAGCTCTTGTTCTATTTTTTAAGCTCTACATTCTTGAGGAGCTCTTGTCCTTTTTTTCCAAGCTGTAAAAACAGACTTCAAATGATATCAAATGACTTCTTGCAAAATCAGATTCTTAAAAACTTCAGGCTCAGATTCAGCAATCATCAGTAAAACAATTACTTTGGATAATTGAGCTAAAAAATAAAATAATAATAATGAATACAAAAATTGTTACAACCCTCTCCCCGTTCTATAATTATGTTGAAAGAGCAACATATTTCTTATTGGTTTAGTCAATAAGCCTTCGTTTTAAAGTTACATTTTAAAGGTTGCAGTGAAGAGCGAATGCATGTAAATGTTTTTAATTAAAATCATCAAACAAACTACTTATCAGGTAAGTAATAAAGCAAATTCGTACTCAAAGATTTAACAAGAGAATGAAAAATTATGCATTTATTTTTTCTAGTTTCCAGTGCAAAGTAACTAAATAATTTATTGGGATTACTTTCATCATATACTGGTAATACCATTATCAAAAAACAAACAAACAAACAATTTACGCTAAGAAAACCGATGGTGTGGAACATGTGCCTCGATCGTTCAGTATGCAAAATATCACTGATTATTGTGTATTAAAAATTTCCTTACATTTCACAAAGCAAAAGAGAAACTTTCAACAAAAAACTACTTTCGCAATGTCATACCTTTCAAAATGTTGGCCTTCATTCTCGCGGTAGCGTATGTCAATTTACTGTCAGAATCAACAAAACTTTCCTTTTTTTTCAACTGGCAAAGCCTCAACAATAGATTCCTTCGAGCGTTGAAAATCGTATATGTCTGTAGCCTTGTTGTCAATCATGTGGATATCTCTCTCATCCTCAATCAAACCTATCACGTTTTTGAAACAATTCTCATTGTCGTCAAGATTGTTGCTTCATCAAGCGGCTCTTTGTTTCTCTTGGCATTCTCGAGATCGTAATGAACGTTGGTACGAATGAAAATAAAATTTTAGTTGAGATCATACGTAACTTTCTCAGCCAGCTCTGTCAAAGTTGGTGAATCGATCTTTGCAGATAATAAGAAATGCATCGTACTTTTCAAGACCGCCAATATTTTTAGATTATTCTTTAAGATTTGGATATTTAGGTGTTCCAATGCTTGGTAGATTCGAGAAAACGATGTTTTTGTTATTCGGGTGTGAATATTTAGTGGGCTTATTTGTCGTTTCTGTGACACCAACTGGTGCAGCTCCGTTTTCTTTACTACCTTTGATTCTGAACGAAAGAAAACTTGATAAAAAAATCAATAATTTATTTGATTACTACACGATAAAATTCTCAAATTCATGAAGTTAACACCAGTTTGAATATTTTATACATAACATCGCAACTTTATGTAAGTCTGTTCAGTGATTACAGGAATTCAGGCCATTAATATTTTGGATAACGGATTTCTTTTTTAAGAAAAATAACTGAATTATCTGAATAATGAGGCAATTTCAATTATTTCAATGTCCAATTTCATGTCATGTGCTTGATAAAAGATCAACTTGACCGATACAGCATTTTACAGGTATACACATTCATATTCATGAAACTAGTCGTGAGCCATTGTGGCTGACTTTCAATCAATCAATTAATTCAATACATTTTTGTTTTGATTTGAAAAAAAAAGATAAATTACCCTCTCACAGCATTGATAAATGATGATTTTCCTGTTCCAGAGTCTCCAGTTATGGCAAAATCTATCTTTGAGTTTTTTAATGAAGGAATCAAATGACTGCTGTAAAATCCTCAATACAAGCAACGCCTCAATACTTCTGTTTTCGATCTTTTCTGTGCTTTTCGGCTTCTTGGAAGGTTTCTTTGGAATCCTTTGTGTTTACAAAAACTGTCTTATTCAAAGAATGCAGAAACAAATCTCTTCGACGTTTTACCAACTTCAATGAAATATCTTCATCTAGACGCTCAAACTCATCATTTCCACCGCCATTGTTGTGAATAACATAGATATCAGTTTTATCTTCAACCAAACCTTCAACAATTTCCCTACCTTTAACAGTTTCGACTGTTGTTTCGTTATCAGTGATGGTGCAAACAAAATTGAAAGGCTTGCCAAGATTTTTTGAAATTTTCTCAGCAATTTCTTTCTCTTTAAAGTAAATGGTTTTAACCCGCTCACGACTTACAAACATGCACTACCTTTTTGATTCCGCTACGTAGATGACACAATCACAGCACTACATGGCGACGAGATTGATGACTTTCACACTCACATCAACAAAGAGAACAGCCACATACTATTTACCAAAGATGTCGAAGAAAACGGAACTCTTCCTTTTCTCGACTGTTTGGTAAAACATGACAATCAAAAACTACGAACAACAGTTTATCGCAAGCCAACACATACTGATCGACTACTAGACCAATCATCTTACAACCCTACATCACACAAAGCCACCACAATCAGAACATTAACAGGACGTGCACAAATCATTTGTGATTCACCGGACGCTCTACACAACGACAACAACTATCTCAAACGTGTTTTTGACAAAAACAACTATAACTCTGACTTTATCAAACGCAACACTTACAAACCCAACGAACTCAACGAAACGAACAACTCAGTGACAACAGCAACGATACCTTACATCAAAGGTACGTCTGAGACTATCTCGCGTATCTTACGACCATACAACATACGTGTCGCACATAAACCAATCACAACGTTACGACAAGTATTGACGAACATAAAGGAAAAAGAACAACCCAACGAACGACAAGGTGCAGTTTACAAAATAAACTGCACCGCCTCCTATATCGGGGAAACTGGTAGGAACTTAAACATAAGACTTACTGAGCACAAACGAGCTACTAAGAAACAAGACAAAACTAATCACATTGCCGAACATCACCGAATATCACAAAGCACAACATTGACTGGGACTCGGCAAAATGCATTACTTACAGTACTGACTATAGACAACGGCTTATATTAGAAAGTTGGTATACCAACTTAGAACAAACCCCCCTGAACAGATCACAGCAATTACCGGCACCTTACAAACGACTTATTCACAATACAAACAAACGATCAACTAAAAACATTACACTTCACACTAATTCACAATGACAATACACAATTGACACCCACACATTACAACTAAAAACATCACACCTAAATCACACTTCACAACTAAAAACATTTCACTTCACACTAATTCACAATGACAATACACATTTCCTGTATACACAATACAATGACGTAAGAACCAGATAAAAAATACTGCTAACCTGACGTTTACTCCTCATTTGACTCTGAAGATGACTACCGCAAAGGTTGTCGAAACGTCAGTCAACAACAACAAAAACAGTCCTTCTCAGGACTATACCAACCTGGACGATCTACATTTACAAACATGTTCTTTCTCTTTGTCAGTGAATCTCGATTTGGCAAAAATGAGAAATGCATCAAACGCCTCACAACAAGTTGATGAACAGCAAGTTGATGGTGAGCAAAGATTCCAGAAGATGATCCCATATCTCTTCTGTTTTTTAGTTTTCTTTCCAATTGCCTCAGAGCCAGATCTAGACCTATAAAATTAATATTTTGTGTCTTATTCCTAAAAATAATATGGAATTTTTGTCTGCTTCTAGCATAGGGAAATGTTTCCAAAAACTGTGAACTCTGCACTTTGAACTTTTTGGCAAAATTAAGCAATCAATAAAAATTTGTAAAGATCAATTGAAGTTTTTGAAACCAATAACAAAACCATAGATATTTTAACTGAAAAGGACTGTAAAGTTGTGGTTTAGGCTGAGAATACTTCGTTGTTTATTTAGGGAGAACATCTGCAGAACTTTTTTGACACTTTTATCTTTACAAAGAACATAATCTTTTGATAACAATGAAGGTACATTCTATTGTTTCTCTATGAAACTCAATGTTAACACTCACTTAAAACAATTGTGATGTTTCACACAAAATATACAAATTTGTTTCAAGTTGCTTTTGTTTTAAAGAATTCAAACAACAATCCTTTTCTGGCAATTGTTTCGAGAATTTACATTATCATGACCTTTAAAGATCGTGAAAATGATTGCTGGGCCTAATAAATATGCAGCTTGGTTACGTTAGGTTTGACGAAACCAAAAAGCTAATTTGTAATTTACAGCAAAAATAATTTCATAGACATGGTAAGTCTTTTTTATTGTTGTTATTAAGTCCACAACTGAGTAAAAGCTAGTGACTTGCGAAAATATCGATTTCCTAAGAATAATGCTGATGATTGCTGACTGGCAACATCGCTGTTGAAAGCACTTGTTAGCGCATAACTGTCTCATTGAATTACCGTAAATGCTCGAATAAGCGCCCGGGGCGCTTATTTAATTTTTGGAGGCGAGAGGGGGGCGCTAATTCGAAGGGGCGCTTATTGAAGGGGCGCTTATTTCATTTTCGGATTTTTGACGTGAAAATGACACTGGTATTTTTATTTCTTGTGACCTTAACTGTAACATAAGTATGAAAATTTTGAAAACGTTAACATTCTAGAAAGCAACATTAACATTTTGTGAAACTTGATATGTTCTCCAAGCGATTTCCTGGTGCCCGTTAAAAGGGCATGTGTATTGTACAATGCGTTTAACATCGTGAAATGTTTTGTATATATAAAGAAAGCCTGCCGTCAATTGTATCACGTGCTACCAAACACGTGTGTGACATTCATCTGCTGTTTACAACATGGCGCGTTCAAGCTATACCTTTACTTGGCAAATGGTTTACGAAATAGAATTTGCGTCTGTGATAAGAGGACACCATGTTTATAAAGCTGAATGGTCACCACAGCTTGGAGAACGGCTAGTGTGTCGGAAAGACGATCGAAAGGAGGCTAAAGAGCACGATGAATATGCGATTGGAACATTTATTCAAGACAGTGGCAAGCTGGTTGGACATGCGCCCATTGAACTTTCCTTCCTCGTGTTTACATTTTTACGAGCTCATGAGGATAATGCGGTGGAGGTAAAAGTAACTGGAAAAAGAAAACTTGAAAACGGCCTAGTTGTTCCAGGAACTTTTAAAGCAGTAACACGAAGCCGGCGACTGGGAGCAAAGTTTAACGAGGAACTTGATAAAGTAAAGCTCCTATGTGCCCACATGGATATTGAAATCAAGCAAATGAGAAGCAAACCTCTGAAGAACATTGATTTTGAGTTCTAACGAATGTCCGTTACCGATGTAAAAAATTAAAAATACTGTGTATCGAACTGAGTACCGAAGTTCATCTTTATCGGGGAAGGGTGGGGGTGGGGGCGCTTATTTGAGAGGACGCTTAGCAAAACCCGTCTTTTCTCGAGGGGGCGCTTATTGGAAGGGGGGCGCTTATTTCAAAATTTGAGTCCTAGGGGGGGCGCTAATTCGAAGCGGGGCGCTTATTGGAAGCTGGGCGCTTATTCGAGCATTTACGGTAACACAAAATTTTTTTTGAAAATAAGTATGTTTCTAAAACTCATGATGCTATCGAAAGGCTTATAGTAATAATATGATACAATGATAATATACACAAATGTGATTGTATTATAAGAAAAATGGAAAGATGGTGTATATTAACGAGGAAGCTGATTTGTCATCTGGTGCGGCCGCTCTTTTGTCAGCTTCAATTCTGTATAAAATATTGTTTTTATGATCTTTAACTGACAAACATAAATAAAGTGTCAAAGATTTGCAAAACAATTTCTGTATAAGCGTTAAAAAATTATCTATCTTTTCAAAAGGTATTGATGTAGCCACCAATTACAAAAGCTTGCATTTTTGTAAGGTCATAAAACATGAAAACAAGTTGGATATGCTCTATTGAATTTAGCATAAAGATTCTAATACCAATGATAGAAGATTGTCCAAAGGTCAATATCACTATTTGAATTCACCTTAGCTTGAAATGAACGTGAAATACACGTGCCCATATTTTAAGACAAATGAAAGAATGGAGTCAGGCTGGTAATTAAACCACATTCTAGAATTTCCATCAAAATATCATCATTTCTATCTGTATTTCATTATTAAATTTCAACAGCATGTTTAATTATTTGCTTTCCGCAACATAAAAGTTTCTGTAAGCAAATTTAAAAATTCTTATTAACAACTTATCTAAGGGCAACAAATCTGTCTTACTATTTATAACATTGTAATAATATTACTACAATTAAAATATAACATAGCATAGCTTTTGCAAAATTTCTTGAAAGTACCAAAAGAAGTGTGTGCATTACGTTTGGTGCATTACATTTGAATCAGAAATGAAAGAAAGTTAATTTTATTTCGTATTTTCGTTGGTCCCAAAATCATTATTTTTCTTAAGAGTTTAAAATAGACAAGTCGCTTCTTTGAGCCAGTCTTTTGAGCTTCCTGTACTTGTGAAAAACATATCGTGCGATTACTTATATGAGTGCTATACTCGTCATTAATTCTTCAATCCTATTTATCTTCTGTGTGTGATTAATGCGTAAATCAAAATAATGATTGCAGCCTTTATTTAAACTGAAAAATCGACAAAATATTGTAAAAGTTTGCTAAATTCCCCATACAAATTTCGCAATGCCGTGAGCATTGATGTCTATTGTTAACGATGAATACAACATCATCACTATAAAATTTGAGAACCAGCTTTATTAAACTGGATAATAGTGGATAAAACTTTCCTATCCATGTGCTTCACATGCTTCATTATTGACAACAAAATTCACCTTTGGACAGTCCATGATTATTCAAGTCAGTACATTTTGTCTTATTTACAACTTTTACCCAAATTTGTTACTTTTGAGGAACTGCAAAGTCTAAAATCTAAGAGTTCATGCAACTAGGGATGATAATAACCGGTTTTTGCATTTTACATACTTAAATCAAAGTTACAAATGATGTTTCTGTGTAGACGTCACTTCCTGTTGAATATTACTTCCGTTTGTAATGTATATATATAGAGGACATTTAGATAAGAGGGCACTTAATAAAAGCTCTACATGGTGGCAGTGATGGGATTCTGTCTAAAATGGTTAAGACCAGTGGACAAGAGACGTGGAGATAAATAAGAAATGGCATTTCAAACACAAATTCCATTGCCAGAAAAATTAGAATCGAAAAAGCCCGAAGATTGGAAGCGATGGATTGAACGATTCGAATGTTATCGCATCGCAGCTGGCTTAGACAAAAAAGATGATAAAGTACAAATCAATACTTTGGTATATGCTATAGGAGGCAATACCAATGATCATTTAAAAGCTTTCAAATAAGCGAAAGAGATATGGTGTACGGAAATGTTGTAGAACAATTTGCATCGCACTTTGTTGGTCGATCGAACACAATTTTCGAGCGTGCTCGATTCAATAAACGAATACAGGGTGAAAAAGAATCAGTCATCGACTTTGTGGAAGATTTGTACAAACTGGCGAAAACTTGCCAATTTGGAACACTAAAAGACGAGTTGATACAAGATAGAATTGTCGTCGGTATACAAAATGCAAACCTTTCACAAAGGCTAATGCAAGATGATAAATTAACATTGGAGAAAGCTATTAGGGAGGTGAAATCATCGGAGCTTGTCAAGCACCATCACGATATTCTAAAAGGAGACAGCGAAAATGGGCTGATTGGTCGAGTAAGAACAAATCAACGAAAAGGTAATGATACGACACAAAAATCGAAGTTAAAATGGAATCAGAATAGGAGTCCCGATCAACATTCGAGAAAGAAAAACCGTCAATGTTCTCGATGTGGAAGATCAACAATTCACAAAAGAGAGGATTGTCCAGCGAACAATAAAACTTGTTTAAAGTGTAATAAACAAGGGCATTTTGCAGCGGTATGCAGAAGTAACTCAAGCGCAAAAATTCAATCAGTTGATGACAAAAGCACGGATTCCCCAGGAGATTTTTTTCTTGGGACAATTAACGATATAGAAAATGAGCGAAAATGGGCAATCGACTTATTATTAGGAAAGTCTACAGTGAAATTTAAGATTGATACGGGCGCTGATGTGACGGTGATTCCAGAACCGGTGTTTATGCAAACAGGCATAACTCGGATGCAATCAACTAATAAAGAATTGTTCGGGCCAAATCAAGCAAAGCTGTCAGTAAAGGGAAAATTCGAGCAACATTGAGAACTGCTACTTCAAAACAACAGAGCAAGATATTTATATTGTGAAAAATTTGAAAGAGCCATTGTTGGGACGTCCAGCTATCAATGCCCTTGATCTAATAGCGACAGTCGAAGCGATTCAGTCAAATGATGCAAGTGATATGGAAGAAGAAATAAAGGCTACTTATCCAAACTTGTTTAAAGGTCTGGGTGAATTAGACGGAGAATACAACATCAAATTAAAACCTGGTGCTATCCCATTTGCGTTAACCACACCTAGAAGAATACCTTTAACGATGACAAAGAAAGTTCATGATGAATTGACGCGCATGGAAAAACTTGGCGTTATTTCAAAGGTTAATATTCCTACCGATTGGTGCGCTGGTATGGTTGTTGTTCCAAAAGCAGGAAAGTTAAATGAGTGGGTCTTGCGAGAAATTTATCCACTTCCGAAGATCGAAAGTCTTTTGGCAGAAATAAGACGATCAAAATATTTTTCGAAACTAGATTGTAACTCTGGTTTCTGGCAAGAAAAACTAGAACAAAACTCTCGTTTGTTAACTACATTTATTACTCCGTTCGGAAGATTCTGTTTCAACAGAATGCCTTTCCGTATTAAATCTGCACCTGAGCATTTTCAGAAAAGGATGAAACAGCTGCTGGAGAAACAAGATGTTCAAGTAAGCATAATTGACGACGTACTTGTTCATGGAAAGACAAAAAATGAACACGACAATAGACTGAAAGCTGTGCTGAAAAAATTTGACAATGCTGGAGTAACACTAAATCCTGAGAAGTGTGAGTTTGCTAAGAAGATGGTAAAGTTTGCAGGTAATATAGTGAGTGAAGATGGAATTCAAGTAGACCCAGAAAAGATTGAAGCAGTACAAGGTATAGAAGTGCCACAAAATGTGAGTGATGTGCGAAGATTTTGGGAATGGTTAATCAATTGGGAAAATTCATTCCAAATTTGTCTGAAAAACAAAACCTATTAGAGATCTATTGAGTACAAAGAATGAATTTCAGTGGGAGGTGCTCAACAAAAGCTTTTGAAGAGATGAAAACTGAATTAAGTTCTGTACCAGTTTTAGCCTAATATGACCCAACGAAGCGAACTGTTTTGGCAGCCGACGCATCGTCGTATGGTATAGGAGCAGTTCTTTGGAAATTAAATAAGAAAGGAGAAAAGAAACCAGTCGCTTATGCGTCAAGATCAATGACAACTACCGAAGAACGATATGCTCAGATTGAAAAGGAAGCATTGGCAACAACTTGGGCTTGTGAGAAATTTAATGATTATATTTTAGGAATGGATTTTGTGATAGAAACTGATCATAAACCCTTGGTTCCTCTGCTTGGCTCGAAGATATTAGACCAACTTCCTCCAAGAATACAGAGATTCAAGATGTGGCTGATGAAATATTCGTTTACTATTCGTCACATACCAGGAAAAGAGTTGTTTGTAGCGGATGCATTGTCTCGAGCTCCTATTATGAAACAACCTACAAAATCTGATAACAATTTATCCCAAGATTTGAACATTTATGTTGCACAGATTGTTCAAAACATACCAGCTAGTGAGAGAAGGCTAGAAGAAATTCGCTGACACCAACAAGAAGATCCGGTTTGTACGAAACTTTTGGAATTTTGTTCGGAAGGTTGGCCGGACCGAAATCGAATTACTAGTACCTTGTTACCTTATTACTTTGAAAGAGCAACAATTACAATGCAGAAAGGAATGTTAATGAAAGACTCCCGCTTGATAATTCTATCATCGCTACGTTTAGATATTCTAGAAAAGATTCATGCTGGCCATCAAGGCATCCGTAAGTGTCGTGAAAGAGCAAGAGAATCTGTTTGGTGGCCTGGACTAAGTAAGCACATTGAAAACATGGTTACTGATTGTTCCATTTGTTGTAAATACAGAGAAAATCATGCAAAGCCGTTACTAACAACGTGTTTTCCTCAACGACCGTGGCAGAAAGTTGCTACAGACTTGTTTGAACATAGCGGAAAAAATTATGTGCTTGTAGTAGATTATTATTCTAGATATTTTGAAATTGCTCCTTTGAAAAAAAGCACAACTGCAGAAGATGTTATTAATCATATGAAATCCATATTTTCTCGTCATTGTATACCAGAAACAGTTGTGTCGGATAATGGTCCACAGTATTCTGCAGCTATTTTTTCCAAATTTGCTGAAGAATGGGGATTTACACATTTAACAAGTAGTCCTCGCTATCCTCAAAGTAATGGAGAAGCAGAAAGAGCTGTAAAAACTGCAAAGAACTTAATCATAAAATCCGAAGATCCTTATTCAGGTTTACTTGTATACAGATCATCACCATTGCAGAACGGGTACTCACCAGCAGAATTATTAATGGGGAGGAAATTACGTTCTAATCTACCAGTAATATCCGAAAAGTTAACTCCAAAGCTTGCTGATACGGCAAAATTGAGAAGAGACGAAGAAAGTTACAAACGACGTCAAGCAGAAAACTTTAATTGTCGTCAGAGAGCTTCAGTCCTTCCAGACTTGAGTCCTGATGAAAAGGTTTGGGTAAAAGATATAAAATCACCAGCTGTGGTTGTGGGAAAAACCAATAAACCAAGATCATATATAGTCAGGACAGAGCAGTCTGTTTTAAGAAGAAATAGAAAACATCTTATCCCTGATCCTGAAAATCTGAGGGAAAACAGTGAGAGGAACGAAAGAAAGCTGAGTTTCAGTGATAAGAACGAAGTGAACGAATCTTCTAGTAGTTTGGACAATGAACAGGAATCGAAGGTAATTCGAACCCGTTCAGGAAGAATTATTAAACCCCCAAATAGATTGAACTTAGAAAACTTTTGAAAGATACTTTTTGTATAGTTATAGGTATAAATATTTATTATTAATTAGTTATTCATTATATTAAAAAGGGAAGATGTGTAGACGTCACTTCGTGTTGAATATTACTTCCGCTTGTAATGTATATATATAGAGGACATTTAGATAAGAGGGCACTTAATAAAAACTCTACAGTTTCATATTTTTTTCTTTTCCGAATCATTCCACGAACTATTTATCAAAAATATGCTTTCAGACAAAACCCCACTGTTCTGTCAGTTAATAAGCTTGAAAATCGGTTTCATAGTTGCCAATGCATCGTCTCAAAAGTCGTTTTAAACGTTGTATTGTTAAATAATGGGCTCATTTAATTCTAAAACTGGCTCAAATGTTGGACTCAATAAAAAAAGAGGACAATCTTATACAAGAGGCACAGAAATATCTAAGGAATAATGGACTGGATTGGTCATTCTACAAAGACCAAGTCAATAAATGGAAGAAGTCCGAGCTAAACATTACCTTAGCCGGATCAAATCAATCGGGAAAAACCACTTTCATAAAGTCTATCATTGGGTAATTTACAATCGTCTTAAAATATAATTTTATAACTTAATTTTGTATGGCAGTTCATTCAAAGACGTCTCATTTTGCATGACGCCAATATTCTTCGTTAATCAACAAACTAATTGTGTATCACAGCTGGTCAGTAAAATTTGATTTGTCAGGGAGTTTTTACGTCTTTTCTTAATTTATAACATTTGTTTTCTGTAATGCTTATGTAATCCCTATAATACGATTGAAAATGTATTTGTTAAAAATATTTGGTTTCTGACACACTGATGACGTTGTTTTTGTTGTGTTTGATGCAGTGGCCATGATAAATAATCACACTGATGTCTGGAGGTTTTATTACATTTATTCCCACACATATAAGAAAGACTAGATAAAATAACTGATACACATAATGATACAGCTATTTACATACGTGCGCTAAACTATGATTGGTCAGTTTATTTCAGCTCTTATACAAATAATATCGATTACGTTTACAATCATTTCTATAATTAAACATGTGGAAGTTAACACACACTTTACAAGATACACATTTACACATCATAGAGCATAACCTAATATTTTTAAACAAAGAATAAAGCAATCAGTCAACGTTCTTATTAACCTCTTATCAACATTTGAGAAATTAACTTTGGCACCTCAAAGGTGGAGGTTGGTTTCAAATGTTGATAGATAATAGACTATTGTTTATAGTTGTTGGATAGCTGTGCTATCATTCTTTTTGTTTAATAACATTCCAACTATTTAACCTTCTAACAGTTTTTACTGTGCAATTTACATACTCGTTTGAAATAATGCAGAATTTATTGATTAGGTTATTGTACTGATTTTAAATATTTCCTTTTCGATATGCACAGTAAGAACGTTTCGGTAACGACTATACAATGGCGTATATTCCCAGTTCTCTGTCGTTTATCGAGAAAAGTGGTCACACATTGTTTACGTACGACATCTTTACAAAGAACGAATCTACAATGGCTTATATGGACGAGTTCTTCGGCTGCACACTTTATAAAGACAAAGTGATCTTCCATTCAAATCCAATTCATCAGAAAAACTCGCATCTAGTTATTCAAATAAATTAATTTTCGATTGTTGAAGATTGCGGAAAGAAAAATGATGAAAGTCATGAATAAGTTTTATTCAAATCCTAAAAGTCTGGAAGAGTTACAACAGAATGTTGGAGTTTATTCCATAAAACATGATCGTTTTGCTCTACGTGAAGAATTTGAAAGTTGAAGTCCAGAGGGCAGAGATTTAAAATCAGACAGATCTGTCTTAGAAAAGGAAGTGAAACAATTGAAAGAAGAAATGCAAAGTGCTCCATTTAAATTAAACAACGAGCCTCAATTTCTTAATAATTTAAAATGATTAATGACAAAATTGCTTTTTATACTGGCTTTCCTACTATAGCCATGTCCTAATGTGCTTTGACCTATTGAAAGACAAAACCCACAAAATTCATTATAGAGTTTTTCAAACAAACAGCAATACATCAAATTCTGGGCGAGCAATTGGCCGTCAACGAAAGTTAACAAAGTGGCTGGAATTCACTATGGTACTCTTAAGGCTTAGACTTGGATTACTAGAAAAAGATCTTGCTCATCGTTTTAGGGTTGCTGTTTCCACTGTTTCTGTCATTGTGCGAAGTTGGTTAAGATTCATGAGACAAGAGCTTGAGCCATTATGTATTCAATGGCCTAGCAAACAACTCATTCAGTCAGTTATGCCTTTGCAATTCCAGCAACTATGTCCTGATGTTGTGTCAATAATTGACTGCACTGAAATTTGAATGGAATCACCCTCCAGCCTGGACAATAAGGCAGCCTGCTATTCAAGCTACAAATCCCACTCCACAATGAAAGCTTTGGTGGGAATTACACCAAATGGGGTTGTGTCATTTGCCAGTGACCTTTTCTCAGGTCCAATTAGTGATCCTGAAATAATAAAAAGATCTGGTTATCTTGAAAAATTTAATTATGGTGATGCTGTTATGGCTGATAAAGGGTTTTTAATACAAGATGAACTAGCAGAAGTTGGTGCATCACTTGTTATACCTCATTTTCTCAAAGGAAAATCTTAATTTACTGTAGAAGAAAGCAAACATAACAAGAAAATAGCATGTTTACGAATTCATGTAGAAAGGTGCATGGAAAGAATAAAAAACTGGCATATATTTGATCGCTCAATGCCCATTTCTCTTGCTGATATTGCCTCAGACATATGGATTGTAGTAGTTTGTATATCAAATTTCTGGCCGCCTTTAATAACATAATTATTTTTAGGGCAGTTGAATATTGACACAATGTATCAGATTTGGACAAAATGAAATGTTGCGGTCTGTATTATTGTAAATAGAACTCTGTGTATAGGACGGTAAAATTACAAAATTTTAACATTTATGATCATTACTTACAAATTAATATATTTAATACAACTTTTATATTACAATTGGGCTGGGAATTGAACAATTTTGCCCCACCTTTCACAATTAAATTTTATATTGGGATATACAAGTTCTGGAAAAACATGGGTGTAATAAAATTGCTGTAGTCTAGGAAGAGTCTTACTCCAAAACACTTCATCAAAACAAATTTCATCAATGTGAACCCAAATACCATTAGAAACAACAAAATGACACACTTTTCCACCAGCACAAAACAATTGTTGTTGCATTTGGTAATAATACTTATGATTATTATTTATGTAAAGTTTCCCATTTTTTTTCTTATAAATGTACAACCTGCACAATGTATCCATGAAAGATTCATTCTCTTTGGCGGTGACCTTTTTTACTTCAAGTAGTACATTGTCATTTGTAATTCCATCAGGTGATGCCCCAAGAAAAGGATGAGTAGAGGAAATGATAAATCCCACCTTCCTAACAGTATTTCCAGAAATTAATTCATATTTTTTAAGTATGCCAGCTTCTGATTCAATTCCATCCTTCATTGCTTTGGTTTGAATTGGTGTATGATAGTTAAGAACATCAGCAATAGCTTTGGTAGGACTTGTTGTTGGTTTTATTAAGCATCTTTTGACTTTTGATGCTGTTATACGAGGTTGTCTAACATCATACCAAAGTTTTGACTCGTGTTGTTTGACAGTAAGTTCCATTATGCGATCGCGGTCACTCACTGACGCTAGCAACCTTTTCTTAACCCTTTCACTCTTCGCTTTTATTTCATTTAGTGACATTGGTAGATATTTGTTTGGAGAAACCAGCGGCATACTTGTACCATCTAGATGAGCACTATATGAAGGACTGTAGTCAGAAGTTTCAGAAGTCCCAAAGTTATTTTCATCATTTGGCTTTGGAATAATGAAGCTCAAACCAGTCTTCATTCCTGTTTCAGCTTCCAGAATCTTTATTTTCTTTTAAAAAGAATGTAGATCCTCATTTGATGGTTTTTGTTTCTCTGGAATTTTTTTGATTAAGATGTCCTCAGCAGATTTGAACTTTTCCTTGTTATAACTATGCTTTATAAACTTCATGTCCTGTATTGTGGAAGCTTTAGCTGCTCTTTTAGGAATATTCCAAGTGCAAGGCTTTGAAGTGCAATGAGTAGCAGAATCTTGCAAGCCGAAATTGTTTACTTTATTTGAAGAACAATCTAGAGATTCCAGCAAGAACAATGTAGCAGCTACATGATTGCAGCATCCATCAATTCCAGCAGGGCAATCACAGAAAGCTTTTTGCACAAGAGATCTTTCATTCATTGTTATTTTGACTATATAGCTATCTTTTCTCATGGAAGGTAGCACTTTGCTTTTTATAAAATATAAACCATTTCGCAGTGTAATTACCATTTCCGAAACGGCGAATAGCAGTTTAGAATTTAAAAATATTATACCATTACACATTTATTTAACTTTAAAGGCTGAAACACACTAAGCAGTCGCTTTAGTCGCGCGTCTAAAACTACCGCTTTGCGTGGTTACTAAGCTAGTAGCGTAGTCGCGTAGGCTAGTGAAAGTTCAACATGTTGAACTTTAACTTTGGTCGCTGCAATCGCTTTATACTGATTGGCCAATAGATACATTTTAACTTCCTAAATGCATATCATATTTCCTGTCATAAGCATCATACGAAATTTATAGATTATACCTTGGAAAACGAAGGCAATATATAGTGAATTCACACTGGAATCTTTCAGTTTTTATATGACTTATCAAATAGGGACAATAGGAGCTTCAAACTGGAACCCTAATGCACAACCTAAGTGCGCAGAATAAGATTATCCACAATATACGCGTAATGGACATATTGGCGTGTTTTAACTGGCTTGTTCTCTTTTCTCCACATAGTAGTTTGTACTGAGTAAATATTCATATATTAGTAGCTATAATAAAGGCCAAAATAAAAAGTTTAAGTGATATCTGTGTCTGTAACAAACTAAAATCACCGCCATGTGCAATAGACGCCAAGGTAAAAGTCGCGATGTTCGCTGCATGTGTGTTTCTAGCGTTCAAGCTACTGACGCGTGCGCATCAATTCGCTTTGGACGCGCGACTGAAGCGACTGCCCAGTGTGTTTCAGCCTTAAATGTGTTGAAACCCGAAAGCATAAAGCAAATTAAAGCACAATTTGTTTTGAAAGTATTTTGCCCACTGGTATTACATATGTAAGCTCTCCATCACTTGTTCTACAGTAAAACAAATCTAAATCAACTTATCAAGAAAGGTAAGATAACATTGAAAATTCTAGACATTTTATTCTCCATTTCCCCGGTTTTTTGTTAGACGATGGTTTGATATCACTTTATGTACTAAATTTTTGACATATTTTTTATAGAATATAATCTTGCCAATTGTGTTTTATGCTTTGCATGTGCCAGTGGCAATTTGTTAACAACATATTCATGTAGTATAAAGGGAAAATCAGTAATAGTAATTTTACATTACATATGTAACATTTTTAATGTTCAAGGTAACTAAGTAACGAAGGAAACCAATTACCATCTTAGATATATATTACATATTTGTAAAATAAAGTCTACAAGTTTTTGCTGTCGCTATTTGTACATATTTGTATATATATCAAAAATGGAAAGTTGCTAATAGTCACCTTGAACATTGAAATATTGATAAAGTGGTTACTTTTTGTGTGTGCATGCACACATGAATGTACATGCACATATATATTATATAAGCGCGAAGCACCAAGTCGAAAGCTCAATAAATCATTAATAAAAATCCAGAGAAACTCTTACAATTGAATACAAAATATAACAATTCTTTCTATAGTTACAACTTTGAGTTTCCTCTATAGCATTTTATTCTTTTGAATCATTATACGCATTTTGGACACTTCCAAGTGACGTTTGTCTTGTGGAAAACTGAATCTGGCATTGTTGGTGAACACTTTTTGTGGAACCACTCCAAGCATTTGTCACACTGAGTACACCATAGGTCTGGGTTTTCAAGATCTTTCTGGTTCCATGGCATTCGACAGTGGCACATCAGTGAAAATTTCAATTTTCTTTGGATTTGACTCTTGTCATCAATTTTCCTTTTCTTTGTCGAAGGGAAAGGAATGAACTCATATTTTTTCAGACAACTCAACAAGTGTGATCGCATGGAACCTTCATTATACATCAAAGTTGTTGGATCTTTGTTAAAAAGTAATGACACAAGAAATGCAATTGCAAACACCCCACAGTCAACGTAATTGGATTGATACTGGACATGTGGTATGTTGATTGTGATTGATGGTGATGGCTCATGGAGTAGGTTGGCAATTTATTTTTTGTTAAAGAACTGACTCTTCCATTGTACAAACTGTCATATAAATTGACTGAAGCAGGCTGACATTCAATATTTGAAACCAATACCCAGTGATGAGTATTTGTGTGAAGAATCTGGAAAAAAGTACCCCGATGTACAGAAAAATTGGTAACAGGGCCAAGTGTTGTGTTTTCTAAACCAAGTACGACAGAAAATTCTTTCTGCAAAATATTATGTGCAGCACCAATGATGTGATCTGTTAACTCTTTTCTGGTGATGATTATATTTATGTTAATGTCACTAAGTTTAAAAAATCCACGCTTTGGGGTCTGAACGATCTTTTCCAGTTTATTACCTGATTCTTTGTTCAAGGGCTCAATAGGTCTGTAATGGGAAGAGTTTATTTCATCTGTCAGAATATTTGAATAATTTCGTCCAATCTTTGCTTGCTTTCCTTCTATTTCTGTTAATGTTGAAGCATAACTTCTTTTTAAAGTTGCTGCTTTTGCACCACTTCGACCTGACCAGTGATTTTTCTTTGCCGGTTTTTGGGATGGGTTTAGACGGATTTACTAAACACTTGCTATTTTTGACGCTACATTTTGGGGCAGATTTCTTTGTATCTGGCACTTCCAACACTAAACCATTTTTCTTTGGAGAAACATCAGTCAGTATTTTATAACATTCATCTAATTTGACCTTTACTTCATGCAAAACATTGCCATTTCCCCATCCCTCAGCAACATAAGTTAAATTCTTTATTTGTCCCAACCGTTCTCTGCATCTTGCGGCTTCTGTTCTATGTGAAGATGGCTTTCGTTTTAGCTCAGCTACAATGGTGGGGAAAATGTTCTTGTCCTTAGTTGCGTGGATTTCGCTTTCCTCTGGTGCTTCGACGGTTTGTGAAGAATCATCGGAGTGACATTGGCTTACCTCAAATGTCTTTGTTTCCATTACAGACGTGAAACCTATTCGATCAACTGTTAAAAATGGAGATTCCGTGTACGACTTCGGTAGTTTATCAAATGACCAAAGTGGAAAGTTCTTGAAAATCGCAAAGAAGTGCTTACATGGCAACCTGTGTCTTTCCCAGTCATAACAATCACAGCTTGGAAGGTCACCTGGATCACTTCCAAACGACAAAGTATAAAACTTGCATTTGTCGTCTTGACTTCGAACTTTGAAAATTCCACGCATTTCGTCAACAACCATGATGTGTGATGCAAGGGTATCTTCTGACGATGCAAGTCTTTCCATACAATGCCTAATCATAGAGTGTGGTCTTTCGTGAAGGTATGACGGGACATCATAATTGTACTGCCTGTAATTGCTCTGCAATTTCGTATTTAATTCGACGTATCTGTAAAATTAGACAAGAATTTCCAACGTTGTTGCTGCTAAAATACTAGCGCTAACAGCAGCAGTGAATTCCCCAGCCCGTTTTTTGTACCTCTACAAATCATATATTTTTGTGTTTAATCAATGGAAAGACAATGAATGGCATCGAATTTCTAAAGAAATGAACAATAATTTTGCTGAGAAATCTGGTTTGTTGGAGGAAAAGATCGGGCTGGCTTCGCCATCGCCTAAGAGACTTGTTCAAGTAAATAAAAAGAAAAAAATAAGTACTTGAAATAATGGTCGGGCAAAAAGTTTTCAATTAGCACTGTCAGCATGACGCTCAACGTTGAATTCTTGTAGCCATCCAAATATTCATGCTTGAAAGCTTTGTTTTGCCTTTCCACGCCATTATTTGTGTTTATGACTGTTAGCAGTCGATCTTTTCGAAAGGTCAACACCTATTTCTATCAATTTTGTCCGCGCGAGAAAATTAACGAAATCAACATGTATTGTAATTATTGATGAGTACTGTAAGAATGATATTATTAGCAAATTATAAAATTCTCTTGCCTTGTATTGGGATAACCATGTATTGCCAATCCAGTTGCGCAGTTTTGGGTTTGTCTTCCATTCTTCTGATGAATTAAAATTTTTAACATTTTCCTCGTAATCAGCCTCCGTCCTCGCTCTGGCAATTAATCGAAGTTTTGCTAGAATCATATTTTTTAGCGGGAGCAGTCCGTTGCTACTTTTTGAAAGCCATCGCTCCCACTCTTGCTCTCGATGGAAATCGCAGATGTACGTCTGACATTCTGCAATATATACGTACAATTAACATGAAGTGTATTGACTAGATTGTACCTTTTACTCCACCCCACAAAAAAAGAAATTTGCATATTTCTGCCTCAATTAAAAACAAAAGAGGTGTGTAGCATTGTGTGTGCCTTTGAAAGTAGTTTAGTTCTAGGTTTCCTGACTAACCTGGGAATACTCGGTTTATCGCCGACATTTCCTCTTCAGAGTAATCTACCATAAAATACGCTGGATTCCACTCGTTGTTTCAACCCTCTTATAACTTGAAGAGCCTCCGCAGTAGCGTACGATGTTTCACTTTGCAGGACAAAAGAACCAACGACTTGATAGCTTACATTGGTTTTTACCACAAGAAAAAACAAAGCGAGGCTGTATTTTGTCGTTTTGTAAGTGGCATCTACAAGGGTAAGTTCGTTACCATATCTCTTTAGAAGACGTTTCTGATTAACAGTGGCAAAACTGTG